TAGTCAGTAGCGAACTACCTTTGTTCAAAAGTAGCAGTAGTTGTAGCTGACTACATATTTTTGAAGTAGCTGTAGTTATAGCGAACTACAAAAATTTTTTAGTCAAACATGCAGCAGACTTGTACCAACTTGTTATCAGGATGTGTTCGCACTGCTTGTTCCCAGCTTGTTGACAGTTTGTCAACAGCTTGTCAATGCTATTGCACATGGTTGTTGAGCTCAACAAACTTGTTATTGTCCAGCAATTCAGCAACTTAATGTTAACAAGTTGTGAGTGACAATCTTGTAACAACTTGACAAACTATCAACATTGAACATTGTTACAATTTGTTGACAATTTTGCTATCTGTCTGTTGTGAACACATCTTGTGGACAAGATGTGAGATTTTTACACTGCTTCGCACTTCAGTATATATCCCGTTCTATTTCCCCGAGACATCTTTGACTCATGAACTGGACTCTGGAGTCTCCCAAGAGAAAAATGGAGACAGTTCTTACTATACAGCACCTAATACCTTTTCCTTTCTTTAAGCTCCCAATCAAGTCTCGCCAACATACATTTGTGGGAATCCTCTGATAAAACTTCACTCTTTGATGGAAAAGTGCATTAATTCAATCATTACTTCAAACTCCTTATACACAAAATGATAATAACTGCATGTCTTTTCCATCTAACTCACTTTATTTTTGCCTTGTTCTTTGCAGAATTCTTCTTCTGAAACCAACTCAATCTCTTGATCTTTGGATCTAGTGTTGAAAAGAAACAATGTCATGAAGGCTTGAAATTCACAGTATCCTGATATACCAGATTTAAAATTTTGATACTACTGCAAATATGAAAAGCTCAGTATCCATTGAAAAATACAACTATAGGCCCACTGGTACAGCCCTTGAAAACAAGGTCAGCATTCGGCAATGCTGACCTATCAACCTTCCAGGTCGGCAAATTTTTGCTGACCTTAATTCAACCAAAGTAAGAATTTTTTGGTGCTGATTGCTGTTAAAAAGTCAGCGATTATAGAATTCGATTCATAGTTCGAACTGAACACACTTTACGGGTATTCTATATATATAATTTAGGGGTATTCTATATATATAATTTAGGTAAGACTCTAAAAGAAAAGCCGTCGTGTTACTGTAGTTTGTGTTTCCGCAGAAAAAGGCATGCTTTATATTCCGATTTCAATGATTCGCAAATATGTGATTACTAGTGCTCCAAGACATGGAAACAGATTTAAAAAATGCCGAGACGTGCCGACTTAGGTCTGATTTAGGTTGGCATTTTTTGCCGGGGTGCGTAGTTTTGAATTTTAAATCAAAACTACGCACCTGATTGGACAATAAAATTAAAAACCCATTTAACTGCCAGAACTGTCAAACTGAAACTTGCAGTTTTTCACACGCCGCTTGCAACGAATTGTGATCACGAGGTACATAAATATGTCCTTCGTAATTGACAAAACTATCACTGACAAACCGCCTAAAAAAACGGTTGTTTCGCAGATTACTGGGAACAATAGTAAAATTTCCATCTATAAGATCCTTGAACAGTAAGTAGTTGTGAAATGCCCAAAAATCCTGATATTGAGAAAATAATATAGCTGATCGTAAATATAATTTCGTTGACATACTTGAACTGTAGGCATTTATTAATCTCTTTCTTTAAATGTGTGATCTCGTACAGCAAGTTCTGTAGCTGAAGATGTAGACTGTCAACTTCTTGTTTGGCCTGGGGAGCAAGTACAAAATTAACAAATCAACTAGAAACATGGGCAGATAGTCAGCTATCCCCCTTCAATGAGTAAAATAGTCTGGTGTTAGACAGAGTAAAATAATAAAGTAGGGTGCATTAGGACGCAATGCGACTTAATGGATTAACTAGACACGTACATGGGTATATAATATCGATTATTATCGATATTTATCGATTGTTATTGATCGGCGAGTGTATTGCTTGCGAAAGTAAATCTGCACCCATTTTTCAACGTGAGTAAATCTGTTCCCGTATTTGATCTGTATAGCCAGATAAAAACTTAATTTAATCCATTGTTACTGAATTCTGTTCACATTTGTTTCATTACAACATTAAAGAACGTATTAATTAAATTACAGCGTTACCTGTTTGATTGCATGCATATTAAAACAGAGGATTTTTTCATCAATGAAAATCAATAAAAAATCGATAATCAATCAATGAAAGGTCACAGCAAAACAAGCAATTGATTATTCATCGATTTCCAATATCAATCAATTAATAAATATCAATTGGTATTGATTGATATCGATACTCATCGATTATCGATTTCATTGATTAAGTATCATTATTACCTCATGTGTTTTCTCTCGTGCTTGTTTATTCCGTATTTGAGCAGAACGATTACATTTCTTGAGAGTGACAAATGACAACAGACATTGCATCCTGAGACTGTCCAATTTAGGATCCTGCACAAATGCAAATAACTTATAAGTGGGTTTTCCATATAAATATAATTTTTGCATTTGAATTTGATGCTCAAACATCAGTGATCAAAGACAAAATATTTATATAAAACTCACTGTTTTCTCAACGTCCTGCTCTTTGAGCGCCTTCATTTGTTCAAACAAACTTTGTATCGTTTGGCATGCTTTTCTAAACTTTTCTTCATCTTTATAAGACTGGCTTTTTACCTCGCTTTTTACCTCGCTTTTTACCTCGCTTTTTATCTCGCTTTTTACTTCACTTCCATTGGCAACCGCGTTCGTACTAGCGGTAGAGACCGGTTTAATTCTCGATAATTTTGACTCATCGTCTGCATTAACGCTTGCTTTAATAAGTTTTTTCACAGGCTGAGATGAAGAGCTTGACGCCTCAGACGAAGTACGAGATCTTTTGCCCCTCATTTCGAAGTTATTTTACTGTAAAGTTAAAAACTTCAAATCTTCAAAATTTCACTGACTTCAAGCCGCCATATTTGGCCATGAATTTTTACAAAACCCGTATTTATCAAGCGATATCCTGTTTTGTATTGTTGTATCCACCGAAGTACCTCGCTTCCACGACGGAGGTTTTTCGTTGTCTATCACCCGAACGCCAAGGGCGAGTTTCACTGTTTCATATAAAATTGAAATCTCAGTTTGTAAATAGACTAAATACATACATGATTACGTGTCGTGAATTTACTGACTGCCATGGCTTGTTACTGAACTACACACGTAAAAACCATAGATATCTTGGTATAAAAACGCACAAGTTGTAACAAACCTGCAGCAGACTTGTAGCAATGCTGTTCCACTTCCAACAACTTGTCAACAGGATGTGTTCGCACTGCGTGTTCCCAGCTTGTTGACAAGTTGTCAACGGCTTGTTGAGAACATGCTACAAGGTTGTTGAGTTCAACAGACTTGTTACAAGTTGTTCCAACAACTTGTTATCGTCCTGCAATTCAACAATTTGTCAACAAGTTGTGAGTGACAACCTTGTAGCAACTTGATAAAATAACAGCATTGTTACAACTTGTTGGCAAGCTTGCTACAAACCTGTTGCGAACACATCTTGTTGACAAGTTGTGAGATTTTTACGTGTGTACCTATAAAGCAAACACATTTTGTGACGTATTATAGAATACACGTTTGAGATATCTTTTTGAGGTAGTTCAGAAACAAAACAAGACAGCTTATTGTAGAATAGCACTTTAATACACTAGATCAGCACACGTTTGAGATATCTTCAATTTATTCAATAACTTTCTAACATGTACCCTACAGCTATTTTGTAAAAGGTGCTAGTTTTTAAAGAATAAAATAATATGATATTTGTGGTGTTACTCTGAGTGCACATCCACACCGGGCGAGCTTGAAAAATATGCCCGGCCACGGTGGGATTCGAGCCTACGACCTTTGGAATACTAGCCCAATGCTCTTCCAACTGAGCTACGTGGTCAGGACGGTTATTCATATTACTAGAATACATTGGTATCGAAGGAACTAGATTCTGTTCCGAAATATCACTTACTCGAACCGTCCTGACCACATAGCTCAGTTGGAAGAGCATTGGGCTAGTATTCCAAAGGTCGTAGGTTCGAACCCCACCGTGGCCGGGCATATTTTTCAAGCTCGCCCGGTGTGGATGTGCACTCAGAGTAACACCACAAATATCATATTCACCTGAGTACACTACACCAACACAGAAAAAAAATTCATATTACTAGAATACATTGGTATCGAAGGAACTAGATTCTGTTCCGAAATATCACTTACTCCAACCGTCCTGACCACGTAGCTCAGTTGGCAGAGCATTGGGCTAGTATTCCAAAGGTCGTGGGTTCGAATCCCACCGTGGCCGGGCACATTTTTCAAGCTCGCCCGGTGTGGATGTGCACTCAGAGTAACACCACAAATATCATATTCACCTGAGTACACTACACCAACACAGAAAAAAAAAAATCATAATAAAATAATATGTTATACGCCCATGGCACCGCAACTATATAAACTCTTGACCACGCTTCGCGATTGATCAGTTATGGTTACATGTTTAAATTAATCAGCAAAGCTAGCCATCTGAGAAAGCCAACCAACATGATCATTTTATAGGTAGATATTTACAAGTTGAACTGACCATACTGCAGGGTGATCCGAAATACCGTTCTAGATTTTTAAACAGTTACTTATTGGTTGGCATGGAAAATTTAATCTAAGAGATGGATTGTGATACTAAGATTAATAAAATTGGTCTAGTACACACCGTCCCTACACACAAGTTGTAACAAACCTGCAGCAGACTTGTAGCAATGCTGTTCCAACAACTTGTCAAAAGGATGTGTTCGCACTGCTTGTTCCCAGCTTGTTGACAACTTGCTACAAGGTTGCATGCCGATTCAACAGACTTGTTACAAGTTGTTCCAACAACTTGTTATCGTCCTGCAATTCAACAACTTAATAACAAGTTGCGAGTGACAACCCTGTAGCAACTTGATAAAATAACAACATTGTTACAACTTGTTGACAGGCTTGCTACACGAGCACATCTTGTTGAAAAGTTGTGAGATTTTTACAACAGGTCTAATGACCCCTTACTTTGGTGTTGGCTGTTTAATTTGGAACATTTGGAACTTGCATTTTTTCAGGACAATCTATATATATGTGAATAGTATATTTAAAAAATTCTGCTATACCACACCGCCCAATATTTGCTGAATATCGACTGTTAAAATACGTTCTTCAAATTCTACAGACCCAAGGGGTTAATATCGACTGTGACTTTCGTGTACAGAGGTCTTTCAATCACACTTTCTACTCTATACTTCAGAGAGTTGAGTCCGTCAGTGACCATTCGTTGTTGGGAATCCTTAAGTTTTTGGAATCTAGAAAAGGACAATATATCAGGTCAATATCTGGTCAGACGAGGGTAACAGTTGGTGAGAGTTGCGCCAACTCTCATTGACTCTCGTGTTCTCTCATCAACTCTGAACTGGTTCAAATTTTAATGCGAGTTGACGAGTTTTAGCTATTGCGCGGTAATATCCAGCCAACTCTCATAGAGATATACTGTAGATAGATAGAAAACGTTATTTAAACACGCTGACCCCGTCAACCGAAGCTGATTTCCACGAGAGGTGCATGTGTACAAAAGTATATACATATAAAGAATTTTAAAAGCTATTTAGTATTTACAAAATTATATAAGATATATAGTATTATATATATAATATGTCTAATATAATATATATAATATATAGTATATGCCTTTTTCGCCTCAGAAGGAAGACTATTCCACAGCATTGCACCACTACACTTAAAACGTCGTTTAAGATAGTTTGTTTTAGGTTTTGGAAGTGCTAGATTAGTATCATTACTTCGAAGATTATATTCTCTATTAAGATCTTTATTTTTTATAAATTTTTCTCTAAGACTTGGAGTGGACTGCTCATTAATGCTCTCATATTCATAATAATTCGAGCAGTTCTATTTCGAGTACAGACTAGCTTACTTTACTCAAAAGGTAAATTCGCTCAGGGGCGGATCTAGGATTTTTCGTACCTCAGTCAAAATTTTTTGGTGGACGGGGCGTTATTGGCGCTGGGCGTGGTCTCGACTGGGCGTGGTCGACTCCAGACGGGGGGAGTGGGCGCTAAATAATTTTTGTGTTGATAGTCCGCCACTGGATTTTTAG